ATTAAATATGAACTTTATTGTATAGTACCACTGTATAACAATATTATAAAATTACTTATAAATAACTGATATTCAAGTGCCACAATATGTTTATGAGCAAATCTGCAAAATTACTGATGTCTGACAAACCTATCTAAACTCACTCAAAATCTCTAAAATGTCAACAACCAAGGCGAATATTAGCTGAGGCCTGATTTTGCTGGAAAGTCCAATGAGTATATTGTAATGATAACTTACAATAACAACCCATCACAGTTCTTAATTTAAAGTAGCTCTTCATTAATTCAATAATGTAATAGCTGTCTCAAGACCGCTGAAAAGCACCTGCATGCCTGATAGAAATAAAATCAATTACTCTAATCTCTGCGGAATGAAATGATCCATTCTCTGCGAATGATCAAGCTGCATTATACGTACACAACTGTACATTCAATGTGTAAAATGTTGATGTAAGATAAATTCCTCACATTCAGTACAATCAAATTCTATGACGATACAAGAGCAATTCATACAGCACAGATAAGAATTTTGGAATGAAACACAAAAGTGACGCAAATTAGGAACAAGGCCTCTCTTCACAACCAGCAATATAAGGTAATACTGTCATCTGAACTCTCGCACCTCACAACATAAACCTCCCCTCTCCTCAGAGCTTCAACAGCTGCGTGAGTTGTTCTCTCGTGTCGTCGGGGGAGGTGACTTTGTGGCCTACGGTCCTGGGGTCCTCATAGATCTCGTGGTCATTTCCACCCTTGTCTGTCTTGTCACCGAAGAAGTGAATATCCTGCAATGAAAAGAGCCATGTTTGAAATTTACAGAAGCTTGTTAATCATATTCTTTCTATGAATAGATTTAATATCTAGGTATACTTAAGTTAGGTATACTTAACATATATATATTCATCTCTATATGTGTATAATCACTCCAAGCTCTACCTGATGCTTAACATAAATAACTATTATAATAAAAATTTTCAGGCAGTTTCCATATTCTTTTAAAAGACTAAGCACTATCAATATTCTCTATGTGCAAAAACATGCTTCCATAAATAAATCTGTTTTACTGCCAACATAAAATACAGCATTAGGGAAATTCCCATTACCCTCAATCTAACTCACTTTATAATCTTTCTCTAGGTATCTCAAGCAGTATGTCTTATCCCATCCTGTGGGAAATGCATCAAAGCTGATTTGTCCACCTGAAAAAGGTTAGAAAAACAGAATGAATAGACTTATACAATATTCTGCTCTCTATGATACTCATCTGTTTCTAGAGACCTTTCCTTACAATATCAGTCAGCAGTACTGCATGCAATCAAATATCAAGTAGTCTAAAAAGATACACTACAATGATTTCCTTGAGTACTTACCTATAGAGTACACAAGGCCCAAGTTCGGAAATTCCTTTTCCAAAGCCTGAACAAACTGCTTCCGTATGTTGTGCTCCTGTGCAGGAGAAGAATCTGTATTAGTTGTCTGACATGGTTGTTCAATGAGTAGTTCAGTATCATAAATTATGAAAACATGAATTACAGCCAATGCAGTGTCATTTTATTAAGAAAAATAAGCAAAGCAAAATAAAATAAGATAAAAAGTAACGACTGCTAAAGTAAAATTCATACTGTTCTGAATCTCTGTTGACATACAATCTATGATGTTAAATATTACAAACTGCTACATTTAGTTAAAGAATGAAAGACACCCTCTCTCTCTCTCTATTTCACATGCTTGAAATAACTTATGTATATTCTTGATTTGACTGAGAACAACTGCCAAGTAGTATAATAACTATTAACTGCCACTATTACATCTATATTACTAACTAACTGAGTTCTCTGGCCATGTACTGCAGCTTGCTTGCTGGCCAGCATTTAATGTGCAAGAATGCAAAATGCAAACCAAATTGGATGAATGTCATGTGAATACCCCCTGTAAGTTTTATATTTTCTTTGTCTATAACCTGCTAATTGTAGGTTGTATTTCTATCAGTATCGATCCTAACTTAAGTTGAAATGGAATGTAATATTGTAATCGACTATTTCAAGTTGTGCCCCTGTTGACATAAGCACAAACCTTGTTTAGTCAAATCCAACAATTTAAAATGACCCGACTAAATATTTTTCTTTTACAAGCAAATAACATTCCTAAGGCATTTAACAAGCTAAAAATCTTCACGGATAAACTCAATCGAGCCTAAACCCACCTTATCGTATTCCCCAAACTGGTCCCTCTCGGCCTGTGAGCAGCTGCGGCCAACTGGGCACACGTTGATCAGGCCGTTGCGGAACTCAATGAAAGTTCCTCGCTTGACTGGCAGCTTGAGGCCTGACATGTAGCGCAGGGAAAAGTTGATGAATTCCTGGAGCTTCTCTTCACCCATGTGGTTCTGGATCGACTGTTATATGAAAAATAATGAAGGATTACCAACAGATACTTGACTGTAAAAATGGATGTTTTGTTATAAAAACTTGAAGGTAAAAAATGACCTAATACTCTTTGCATGGAAAATTATAAATATGCATTTACATCATCTTATCTTGAAAATATTTCAGTATATAAATATAGAGACTGGAACTTTGTCAAGAGATATCCCATACAATTAAAGTATTACAGTAAAAAAAAAAAGGGGGTTTCCTTTACCTTATATAAATATCTAAATATAAAGTCACAAACAAACACATGCACATTCAACAGAAGAAGAAGAAGAAGAAAAAGGGAAATTGAAAATGGAAGAAAGAATGAAGGAAAGAAAGAAAAAACAACAGATAAATAACGTGACCTATTACCTTCACCCATCCACATGACCCAGCTGAAAGAATACAATGGAATACAGATATAAGAAAGCTTTCTTTAACAGTACTCAAAAACACATTCACATTTTCAGATTGCCGCATAAAAAAAGAGAGAAGAGAAGAGAAAAGAAGAGAAAAGAAAAAGAGAAAGAAAAAGATATGAAATGAAAAATTCTGAAGCTTATATCTGCAACTTTTACGCAACGCAGACAAAACCCACCTCGCGGCCAATTTCCTCTCCTCCTTTAAAGGCAACTAAGCCATTCTCCGCAAAGACGTAGTCGTACTTCATGACCTCTGCAAGAATAAGAGAAAAGAAATAAAGTATCTGTCTCTCTCTATCTCCTGAACTATCTCTCTCTATATCTTATCTTGTCAACCTGTCTATAACAGTCTCAAATATAATTATAAACACAGTAATAAAAAATATCAAGAAACATAGCAGATATCGTCTTTGATGAATAATTAAATATTTCTTTCATTCACCTGTACATACATCTCACCTTTTGAGAGATAACAAATACAAATCTAAAAGAAGAAGAAGAAGAAGAAGGGGAAGAAGAAAAAGAAGAAGAAGAAGAAAAAAAAAAAAGAGTACAGGAAAAACCACAATACAAGATGAAGGCCTACACTCCCCAAATAGAAATACACGTACCTTCCATGCCTCCCATCTGCTCGGCAATCTTCTTCAGGTCTGACCCCCCCACCAGGCCACACGTCACTTTACCTCGAACCTTCTCCATGAACTCCGACATCTCCTTGAGGATCAGCTGCGGAAAACAAAGGTAACGTGAGGTTTATAATGAAAGAAGGTATTAGGCAATATATGTATTTTGGTAAAACTAAAAGACAGAATACTGTTGCAGTTAAAAAAAAAAGGGATTGAGATATTTTACTAATTTGCTGCTTGTTTTTCTAGAATCAAATACATTATTGAGAATTCATTTACAAAAAGATTTTTTCACACACACACACACACATTCAATCATTCTCACTCACTCATTAACTCACTCATTAACTCACTCATTAACTCACTCATTAACTCACTCATTAACTCACTCATTAACTCACTCATTAACTCACTCATTAACTCACTCATTAACTCACTCTCTTTAGAAAATACTTTACTATATAAAAACAAACAATCTTATCAACTCTAAGGTGCCTTGCAATCATCCTACTAACTTAATAATATGAACAAGAATATATTGAAGTTTACAGAGCATGAAAATTTTCCCAAATATCTCCAAAGCATCTTCTGTAGCCTACCTTTACTTAATTGCAAAATATATATATGATGAGAAAAATGTATGAATAACATTAATACAGTCAGGATTGTTTTTCATTTTTTACAATTTAACTACCTTGATGTTACAGTTTGCATCTAGTACAAATATTTTTCATCACCACCCAGCCCAAGGTTTGAAAAATAAGCATTTAGATGTGTGTTTAATATGATTGCTAAAATCTACTTCAGAATAAAAGAAAAAATTTTTTTCTTCCATACATCTGCAAGGAGTCAGACTGTTATTCAAATAGACATATAAATATCATTTTTACATTTCTATATCTTTTATATTTGGTAAATGAAGAACCAAATGAAGAGAAGAGAAGAACTGAAGCAAGGATTGTCAATAATACATAATATAATGTCAAATATAATAAAAAAATCTACAGTAAATTAACTCATGCAGACACAAGTCCAACAACCTTTGACCATATACATATTAGCAAGACAAGAGTTTGTAGACCTGGTGAATTATTGTCAAGGAAAGAAGCTGGCTAATTCTTGCCAGAATATACGCAGTCTATTAGTCTTTGTTGGAGTGCTGAAGGTGTGGCAGTCACACTGAGTCGCTATGTCTTGTGGAAGATATGACCTCGGGTGCTTTATATTTGGTCATGAAGCACCAAATGAAGAGAAGAGAAGAACTGAAGCAAGGATTGTCAATAATACAGGCTAATTCTTGCCAGAATATACGCAGTCTATTAGTCTTTGTTGGAGTGCTGAAGGTGTGGCAGTCACACTGAGTCGCTATGTCTTGTGGAAGATATGACCTCGGGTGCAAAAATGTCCTTAGTCACCACAATAGATACAACAAATACAGTCGACCAATTGCCATTACTTAAGCCATTTCAGCATTCCTTCAAAGATCAAGAAATACATACCTCATATATTCTCGTAAGAGTGTGGACAATTTCCTAAATT